CCCCCTTCTCAACTGCCTGTCTTTCTCCTTCCTTCCTTCCTTCCTTCCTTCCTTCCTTCCTTCCTTCCTTCCCTCTTGCTTCGCACAAACCCCGGCAAATCTGTATCGTCCATGCTGTGAGCAGTACAGATTTTGAGGAACAAGTGAGAAGGAAACAACAGAGAGACATATTGCGCATGAACACAGCACACTTGTTCCCACAGATGGAAAGGGCTCCCCCCAAATTAAGTTAGCTTCCTCCTCAGCTCCCCGGGAGAATCCCAAACACCTGCAAATATGGTAAACCATGTGAACTCAAAGGAAAGAAGGAATTTGTCATTTACCAACAATCCTGCAGTATGGAATGCAGCATGCTGGGAGATTGGGATGGATTTTGGAAGTACGATTTAAGGGGAGGCAATAGGGGGAGATGTTAAAAAGAGAATTCAAAAATATCCGTGTTCTGTGCAACCTTCTTGGAGGGCCATTTATTTTACACAGCTATTGCTTTCAGTGAAACCTTTTGGAAGTCCTTGATCTCTTGCCTTGGAAAGCCATCGCCCTGCCTCTTAACAAGGGCCCAATAAAACAGGAAGAGTTTGTCTGTGTGGCATAAATGGGTATCATTACTTTCCCACCGGTCAGGACTGAGAAATCCCAAACAAGAGGCTGTTTTGTTTCATTCCCCAGGTAGAATTTGAATCAAATGTTCCTAGGAAATTGGTATGCAGGGTGCAAAGGCACCCGTGGTGGGGCTTGTGAGTGTACATACAACATCCTCATGAATACACTACTCTCTCTCTCAAGTATTGGAACCGACACATACGTGTATGCAAGACGTGCCCCGTCTCATCCTCTCTCCCTGGAAGCTGCCTTGAAAAGAAAGACTAGCAGTTTTGCTCTTCTACACACTTATATACTATGTATACATATAATCTGATCCTTTTGCACAGCCTCCATCCCTTTCTGGAACACATTCAAATCTCTGCCTCCTTGCTTGCACATGTATTCCCACACTGATTTTTGTTCCCCCTGCCTCAATTATGCTGAAGTCATGTTGATTTCTCCCTCTTTTAGACAAAATATGCTCCCACTCTGCTTTTGGAACCAGCTAAAAATCAGCCTCAGATGTCACATCTCAGGAATGTGAAATGCGCACACAGGCAGGCAGCTCAACCGGCTGCACACACATGCACACACACACACCACCTTCTTTTCAAAAGTGCAAAGCAAAGCTCCCTTGCACACAACACACTTCCCTGCCACACTCAAGAGATCCTGCACGAGATCTCTTCTTTCCCTGCCCATCCCTTGCAGCCCGTGAGCTATTTCTCAAAGTCCACGTCCCCATCTTGTTTATTCCAACTCTGGCACATATCTGAATGGACTCACCATGCCCCTTTCCTGCTCCTACAGATTCTCCCAATCTCCTGCATTTTGTTTTCATCTTGCTGTAGCAAAGCAATCGCTGGGTTCTGAGAACATGCAGAGTGCAGTAAAGGGGAGGGGGGCACAGAGAAATGTATGTGCAGCATTTTCTGCTGAGTGGGAAAACGCACCCAGACCAGATACACACAAAGACATGCACTCACACATGATCAATAGCTGGATGAAAACATGCATCCTCTCATCTTCTGTGAGGAAGTCATATCTCTGCAGTTGGGTTTGTACTGATAAGGAGAGCATGACTAGCCATGAAGTCTGGGGCAGTGGTGTGCATGGAAGTCTCTGCTGACATGTGTGCTCACCATTGGAAGAAAGCTGATGAGAAGAAAAGGGTAGGATGAGAAGAAGGCTTTCTCAAGGCACACATTTCTGTTCTGTTTCTTCTGACCCTTACACAGGTTTGAATGGACCTATCACTCTTCCTTCCTGCTCCTGCAGCTTCTTCTACCCGGCTGGCTAATCTCCCAAAGTGTGTGCTTGTGTGTGTTTGTGTACATTTGGGAAGGGAGACTGACAAAGACGGATCCCGTGTGCACTGGTGTGTGCAACCTCCCGATGCGATAGACTGCCTATGCAAGAACGAGGGAAAATGGGTGTATGGCCATGAATGCAATGAAGAATGTACACTTCATGTGCCATTAGGGCTCTGAGCATGAGGGTGAATAATCAAAGAGGTTTCTGTATCCCTGCGGGAAAGAGAAATAAATACGCAAATATGGGAGGGGAGATAGGCGAATAAGATTTTTATAATGTTGGTGGAAAGTGAAGAAAAAGCCCAGGCAAAGTTTGTGTGTCTAGGTGTCTGCCCAAGCAACAGTGGTACAAAAATAGAATTAGCATCTATCTGAAAGAGAGGCAGAAAAAGAGAAAATACCATTTTCTTTAAAACCCTTCTGAGTGGTCAAGAGGTCCACGTCCTCATAGCTAGCAAACAGCCATATACGGATGTCCATCTGTATGTGCGTACAGACTCCCACACACAAAATCAAAGAAAGTACAAAAGAGGCTGTGAAACAAACGTGGCATGCACCATCAGTGTGTGCGTGTGACAACAAGAGCAAGCTCGCCAACTGTGTGTGTCAGCGTGTATCAGAGAGAGAAGGAGAGAGAGCAATTGTGTGCCATGAAAGAGACAACCATCACTTTGTATGCAGCATGAGATAGTAAGGGATGCTCTGTGAATACTTGTGTGTGTGCCTGCAGGCATGTGTAAGGGGCTGAGTAGGGCAGTGCAGTGGCTGGCAGACAAATGCCACAATTTGCAAAGTGAATGCCTGATCGCATGTGTGTGCCTACCACAGCACCAGAGTTGTGCACTGGAGAAAAGGAGACGTGCTTTTGGAATTCCCACCAGCTGAATGCTTGCTTCTCTCCACAGTCTTCTTCTACGGTCTTCTCCTAATGCAACTCTTCCCCTCTCTCTTCAGGGTCTGCTCAGCTGCTATTCTAGCAAAGGGTCTGACTCACCTCTGGGGGCTTTTTCCCTCTGGCTAGCAATCGTGGGGAGAAATCCAGGGTCTTCTGACAGCTTCTCAACAGCCTTCTTATTGCAGGGGAGAAGCACCACCAAACTACACGCTTCCCCATTTTACCCCTACGTTCCATCATGGTATCTTCTTCCCACCCTTCCCAATTCCTTGTTTCCCCCACCAAGAGAATCAGAAAGATAAAGTTGAGTTGTCCCTCCACCTCCTACGGTTTCCCCCTTCCTAGAATCTCTCCGCAGATATGTCTTCCTTCCCATGTGGACATCGACCCCTTTCAATCCTCCAGTTACAGTGGCTCTCCGGATTCATTCTAGGACAAGTTTTAACTCTTCTCCCCAGTCCTGTTGGGGAACAGAGGTAACCCTTCTCCCCGCCCCCCAAGAAATTTTAAAATCCTGAGATTTGAATAAACAGCCTTATGGACTGCAGTTCTGCAAACAAAACAGATAGGATCTCAATGCCGTAGGGATGATCTTCTCCCCATTCTGCACTCTTATCCTTCTCTGTCCGGGACTTCACTTTTAGAGCGAGAGGAAGATGATGATACTGCCATGTTCTTGCCATGAGGGCCCACCTTACATGATTGTGTGCAAGGGGGAGTTTTATGCAGTACTGTACACATGGGTGCCCTCTCTCTCACACACATACATACACACACCACCCACACCCCTCCAGCAAATATTCACACCAGTTTTCTCCTTCTTCACCCCCTTGAAAACGATGAGTCAAGCCAACGGAGCAATGGAGAGATTAACCTAATTAAATCTGCAAGGGATGTGCAGGTCAACACATTCCAGTGGTCCCAACCTGGTGCCCTCCAGACATGGTGGACGACAATCCCCATCTTCCCTGGCCATCAGGAGGGAGGGAGGAGAAACTGGGAGATTTTTTCCCTGCACACGTCCCCAGTGTAACCTTTGCTTCCCCTTGTTCTCTAGGCCATAGGAATCAGATTTGTCCCTCAGAGAGGACAAGCATACATGGGCACAGGGGGACCTGCATGGCATCCACACTTTGTGATTGTGCATACGTACGCACGCACACACACACACACACAGAAACTGCTTAACCCCAGGCTCCCTAGGAAGAGCAGAGTGCGGCAAAGCAGCCTGCATGGGAGTTGGAGAAAAGCTGGGGAGGGGGGAGGAAGACACATTTTCCCCAGGCAGAGGGTGCAGGCACACACAGACCCACACGGTCCCCATCTGATTGTGCACACTCACCCATTACTTAACCCTTTGCACACTAGAGCCCCGGAAAAGACTTGGACGGGAGCTGTAGAGAACCAATCTGGGGGGAAGGGGGCAGGGGGTGCAGAGACCCCGGAGAAAGGCTGAAGATGGTGGGGGGGGGTCGTTTGTCGGGATCGAGTGGGTGCAGAGAAAAAACCTTAGCGTGGAACAGAAAACGGGGAGTCCTGACAAACACTGCGGTTGAGTAACCAGCAAACACAAGGCGTCTAACAATAATAATAGCCCTGTCCGCAATAATGATGATTTTTTTTTTGGTCCCTTACCGGGGATCAACGCTCCTCTTTGGCGGAGATGTGGCGGCGGCCGGAGCTTTTCATTCGCTTCGGGAGGCAGAACTTGTGCGAAGCGGAGCCCCCCTCAATCCAGAGCGCATAGTGGGCGCTGGGCGACTGCTGCAGGCGTCGGGTGGCTGGGGGGCTGGCAGTCCTTTTCATGCTCGGACGGAAGAAACCCTCGCCTTGCTCCGGGTGGCCGGCATTCAAAAGGAAGAGAAGACCCCCTCCCCTCCCGCAGAAACAGAGACAATGTTTTAAAAAGATCGAGACCGAGAGAGATCTTAAGGAAGAAATCCGATGGAATCCTCTGCTCGCTCCGCCGTGCGTCCTGTCCTTCCTTCGGGGCTGGCTGGATTTTTTTTTTAAAGGTATTATTCTTTCTTATTTTCAGTGGGAAGGAGGATGGTCGCTGGGACAGCTTTATTTTTTAAAAGGTCCTCTTTCGGCGGGTCTTCCTCCTCTCTTCCCCTCCTCCTCCCCGCGTTCCTCGGATGGATCAGCTCGCAGCCACCGGGGGCGAAAGGAAGGCGCCCAAGCAGCACAGAGAAGATGG